TAAATAACTTAGCCTTATTCTCTCTTATTATCTTAACTCTTTAGTATATCTTACCTATACTAAGATAGTGTATCTAGTACTATAGCTTTCTTACTTAGGTAGTAAGTAATCTTAAAGTTATATTTTAATAAGATTTCTACTTATTAGGTTTAGCGCTTTATTAACTTCTACTTTTTTATAAAATACTTTAAGGACTTATAGTCTGTTATAACTATAAATACGCTTTTTACGCTCTATAGCTTTACTCTCTAGGCTTAGAGATAGTTAATTACTACTAGTAGCTCCTTATTATAAATAAGGTAGTTATATTAGGTAGGGGTAAGCTTATATAAGTAAAAAGTAACTAGTTAGTAATACCCCTCTATGTCTACCTATATAAGCACTCCTCTAGTAGTATAGCCTAAGTAGTTAGTCTTAATATATATTAGTACTTCTAGGTTAAAGTTATAAAGTATAAAGGCATACTAGAAGTATGCTTTTATTTTATAAAAGGCCTTTTTATAGTTATTATCTTATTAAAATACTATATCTTTTTTTATTAACTTTATAAGGGGTGTTATAATCTCTAAGTAGTTATTTATATATATATAATAATAGTTAGTAAAGCCTAGAAAACTATATATACCCCTTACTAATTTAAGTACTAACTATTTATTAATAGTATATATTTTTCTAAGGTCTACTAATATACCCTTACTAGCTTTTAGTATAAAGCTAATATACTTTACCCTCTTAACACTAAACTTACTCTTTCCTATATTAAGGCTAAGCCTTACTATATATAGCCTTATAAAGACCCCTCTAACTTTATCTTTATAGTCTTATTTTATACTATTAGTATAAATAAGAATATTATTAAGGTATATAGTAATAAAGCTATTTAGAAACTTATATAGTATATTATTAATAAAGTATTACTAACTAGTAAGTATATTTATAAAGCTAAAAAGATAAACTAACTATTTAAAGAGCCTATATTATATTTAAAATATAATCTTATACTTATCTCTTTTAGCTATTTTTATTTTATAAAAAGTAGCTATAATATTTACTTTAGTATACTATTTAGTAATATATATATATTAAAGTGTTTTTATAATTAGTAGTAAGGGATAATAGTCTTTCTTAGTAATTATATTTAGTATATAGTAGTTATAGAAAAAGCATAATTTACTACCTAGTTTTTATATAAATAGTACTAGTACCCTAGTAGTAAAGCTACTTATATAAATAAATCCTTAATCTAGGACATCCTCTAGTGTCTTCTTTAAGACTAATAACTTCTTATATAATATACTATAAAGTAGTCCTTGTTTCGGATCGATCTGGGCCCCTCGTTTTGTTTTTTTTCTTTTCTTTTTACCTTTCAAGTGTGCTTTTCATCAAGCCACGCACGCCATCTGTTCAAGGCACCCTTACTCGGGCAATATACGTACTTGGGCTGGGAACCGTCGACAGGGAGGTGCGGGTACGGGTTCGGTCGCATGGGGGTCAGAAACCAAACAAAGTAGACTGCAAACAAGACTTTACAATATACATGATTTCACGTTATCATCTCGCTCGGATTGCAGCTCGGAGCGGTGCCAAGCCTATATCCGCTGTCATCAACGCACTTCCCGTGCTGGGTTTGTTGTAGACGGACGTGTCACTGTCACTCACCCGGAGAGTCCGGTTCGACCTCATATAGGGGGCATCACTCGCCTTGAACAGACGTTGCACGGCCGCCGTCTCCCAACGGCATCAATTTGGTCCCCTTCCTCGACGTCCTCCTTTTCGCCCTTTCTTGGATCCCCTGCCCCGCCCGCGGCAGGTGGGCGCAAAGGATGGCAGAAGCCACGAGATGAATCGAACATACGCCGGGGGAAGCCACGATCCCGAGGAGAAGGCGGCTGGCTGACTGGCTTCCTTCCGGGTAGCCTCTCCGGTATAGAGAAGGAGAGAGAATGAGAGAGAGAGGCAGCCTCCCCCCCTTGTGAGAACCCTCCCAACCCACTTCTGAAGTGAGAATAAGACGCCCGAGCGCGTGCGTGGGCCGCGGCGCGGACGGTGTTCTTGTTTTATTTTTTATTTTTCAAGTGACACATTGGCGGTGTGCGACGCTATTGACAGACGGCGCCGTCGGGGTATGAGACTCGGACGAGAGAGGCTTTTGCCCATACCCTAATATCAATATCATGGACGGGGCTACGGGTCCGAAAGGGAGGAAAGAAGGTTTACAAGGGATGGAAAATGCTGAATCCAGCCCTGCGTGCGCGCCCGCCACGCGGTGCAGAGGGAGCGGGTGCTGTAAGTCCTCCCGCCCGCGAGTCAATCAATATCCATTCAGATTTGACAATTTGCTCTGGAAGCTTGCTCAAGAATGCTCCCACCCCTCCCCACGTACGGAGTATGTGCGATCTCCAGGCACAAGGTGTTGTAATCCTTGTTTGCTTTCGTTTTAGGTCCTCTTTTTTTTTTTTTTTACGGATACTTTTTCGTGCTTCTTCTTTTCGTCCTTGGTTCCTCCTATTAGTCGCATTCTTGCTGGAGCGTAAGGTGGTGCGTGTGAAACGGGGAGTCCTGTGCGGGTGATCAAACAATACGAATGGCGACAAAAAGGCTCTTACTTGTAGATCTTAATCGAACGTCGGGATCTTTTCCTTCTTCTTTTTTTCTTGACGTCAAACGCAAACCTCTCCACCTGCGACGAAAGGATGAAGGCATACCGGCACATCGACCCGGCCCCCCACCTCCATCATCCCAGTTGTTTCATCAATGGGTCGCGATGGATTGCCGGGCAACGACCAAAGTTTGGTGCCGGAAAGGCTTCGTCTCATTGCTGGGACGGAGGAGCAGCAGGGGCACGGAGAAGCTCTGCGAGCTAATTATGGTAGTGTACAAGTAAGGTTAGGGATACCGTAGCATAGGTAGGTATGATGCACAAAGAGAGAATTTGGCGAGTTTAGCCAGGGGAAACGAACCCCCCCCCCCCCCCCCCACCCCTTTTCCTTTTCTCTTTCCGACGGTACGTACCTTCGTTTGGTTCTCTGTTTTCTTTTTTTCGTTTCCGTCCGATCGGCCCCTTCGGTCGCTAATATGCAGCCTGTCTCCCCCTTGCTTATTCCCCCGCCCCGTTTGTACTAAAATTGAGCGTGTAGTGCATACATACACACTATCTGTACATCGAGGAAGAGGAAGAGGAAGAAGAAGAAGGATAATAATAATAATAATGATAATAATGATAATGATAATAATAGTAATAATAATAATAATAATGTGCCCTTCGGTTGACCCGGCTCGGTGGTGTCATGTAGCATGTGCTGCATGGGCTGCAAATTGCTATAGATGCTGCAGACTGTTAATGACACACACGACGCACGCACGCGGTCAAATGAAAATGTCAGGCCCCCTAAAACACCACGGCACACACTCGCCTGAAATAAGAGACGAGCCCCGGCAGGCTTGATCACACATAAACACCCTTGATCCTTGACATCCCGTTCAGGCGCTATTATCCGGGGACGTTCCTATCGCGATTCACCAACGGTGCTATCGCCGTCTCTTTTATGCCAAGGGGGGGGGCGTGGGTAATTCGTAAAACCCGCGGAAAGCTCTGCTGCGTGCCATTTGTCCAGGTGGCCTCGTCTGTACCACCCGCATCTCCCTTTGCAGCGCAAGGGCGGGGAGGGCAGGCAAACAGGCGGACGGGCAGGCAAGCCATGCCATTCCGACTTTTTTCGTCACGGCTGACGGCGTTGATGACTTGAACCTCCTTACTGCTGCAGAAGAAGGGTTCGAATTTTCTGCCCACCTCCCCTCAAATCGGCCGTCCGTCATGCCCCACTTTGTCCTGCTGGCTGACGTGCGGGCGCGTGGAGGCCCAAGGGGGGGGGGGGTTAAAGTCTTAGATTGCACGCAGGCTCCGTCCACGCGACCACCAAGTCCCGGCGATGGGGGCACAGGCGAGACGTGTTATGGTGTCGTGCTGTTGCGCGCCTCTTGCTCTCACCGGGCTGTCGTCTCATCAAACACCAGTCCCAAGGGGGAAAACGTGCCTGGGACAGGGCCTGTTCTTCATCTCCACACCGCACTCGCTTGTGGCCCACTCCCCTTTGGCTGCAGGAACGACGTCGCAATAGTTCGGCCTACCCCGAACGACCTCCCCCTCACAGGCCAACCTCCAATTGACTTTTGTCTGCCCGCCGCCCTCGTCCATGTTGGGTGTTGATGATCTTTCTTCTGCTGTCTCTCGCTTTCTCAACTCCTTGCTGGCCGTCGCCTCTTCAGGTCTATCTGTCTTCAAAGGGATCAATATCAGTCGCGTCTCATCGCTCTTTATCACAGACAGCCGCCCCGCCCCTTGCCGGCAGAGAGCGGGTTCAATACTCGTTGCTTTTTTTGCCCCCAAAGTCCGATCTTTGCTCAACCTTGTCTCGTCCCAGTATCAGCTCCACCACAGTTCCGCCCTGTCTGCCGACCTGCGCAGCTTATCATTTGCTGACCACCCTGTTTGGGACATCGTTGCTGCTGCTGTGCCTTCTCTGTGCGCTCCTGTACCTGTGACACGTCGACTGTCTTGGGGTCCGCGAATAAGGATCGTCACTCAGCGCACCCTCCACATCTCAAATCACCGTCGCCTAGGAAAAGTCGCGACATGGCCCGTTGGCAATAACCACTACCGCTCTTCCACTTCCCGCAACCACGTTTGCTCCTCTTCGGTCGCACTCCACGCTTCCCGGCTGCTCGACCTCGGAGCCGCTGCCTGCTCCGGACGCTCATTCTTCAAGCAAAACAAACCCCCGTTTGTTTGGTTCTTCATTTCCTCCAGCCCGAAATCGTTCGCTTCTTGACCCCATTGTCCGTTTCCCGGCATTGGGCCCCATACTCTCTCTGTGCACAGCTCACAACATTTTTATGCCCTGCATTCGTTCTGTATGCCCCCCCTCACCAACCCCTACACTCCGCTTCGCGGTACCGTGAAAGCTGACCGACGCAGCTCTTGATACCGTCTCGGCGCGACCATGGTGTCGTTTTTTGGATTGAAGCTCGGTGCTGATAAGAAGAAGTGCGTGGACCGTCTCTGGGGCCTCGACTGCAGAACTAACGCTCCATAGGAAAGCCGAGAAGGCCGCCGAGCAAAAGCCTCAATGGAAGAAGATTGACCAGAACCTCCTCGGCCAAGGCCAGTTCTTTGGAAAGGACCTTGATCGCCCCGTCCCCGTCGATGGGTCCCGTCCCGGCACTGCCATGTCTAGCAAGAGCTTCATCGCCAGCTTTCGTCAGCCGAAAGCGCCATATATGAATGGTGGCTCGTCCTCGCTGGTCGATCTTGGTGCGCCAGGCGGCGGCAAGGGTATCAGGCCTGTCGGATCCGAGGCTAACCTGAACATGCGGTGGAATAACAGCTCGGTCACAAGTCTGCAGAACATTGCGAGTCCACCCATCATCACCGGTGGCAGCAGACCAGGAAGCAGAGCAGGGACCCCTACCTCCATCAGTCGAAAGGTTTGGGTCAATCCTCTCGACGTTCACTTCGCTCGTGACAATGCTGGTTCGAGAAGTGAGGGTACCCTCAGCCCGGCTCCAAGTGCCGCGCCGAGTGGCTATCACTCTACGACCAGCCTGTCCCCGCTTCCCACTCCGACCGTCGCCAACGCACCCCGCAGCCCGCTGGGCCAATTCGAGTTCAACTTGAACCCGTCAGAAACATCCAAAGATGACAAGTTGGCACCCGCTCCGCTCTCGCCCTCCAAGGCGTATCCTTCTCCTCCTCTGTCCGTCAACGGCTCCCTTCCGCGATTGAGGACCGATTTCAAACCGAAGACGTCCGTAAGCACCGTCCATGAGGTACATCAGCCCAGACCAGCCGCACTTCCGTCCCCGACCGCGTCGGCAGGACGCTGCAGTGACGAAGAGCAGCACTTCTACCCCAGGCCCATCATCCAGAATGTTGCAGCAAAACGAGACACACTTACCATCATCACGCCTCGAAGGCAAAGCCTTTCGATGGATATCGACGAAGACCCGACGGCGCTCAGTTTCGGTATGAGAGAGGAGCAAAGTCCTACGGTCCCAGTGAGTCCGCCACCGAAAAGCGCTCGGCGGCCGCGTCCTCCGGAAATGAAGAGTCTGCCTCAGGTGCCCCGGGATGCTGGACCTCCGCCCCCGAGGCCACAGCAGGTCCCGTACGAAGGGCCATTGCGAATCACCGCTCAGGCTCCTGGTGATGTGTTCATTGTCAGGCAACCAACGGGCTGGGATCTGCGGGAGAAAACGAAATTTGAGCCGACAGGGAGAGTGGACTCCGATGCCCGTGATCGTCTCAACCTAGATTACCGCGAACGGTCGGGCCCGGATGGCCGGGATAGGAGAGACTATGAGGGCCGCACTCGCAACGACCGCCTTTACCTGCCCCAAGGATATCTCGGCCCTCCGCCCGTGTCGAGAAGGGTGGCGCCAGGTGAAGGCGAACGCAGCTACGGTATCACGCCTGCAAACCGGCGTCGGCCTCCTCCACCTGTTGAGCTCCAACGCAAGGCGCCCAGCCCGCAGCCCCGGCCACCGGCCTCGGACGACCGCGATATTCAGCAAGGCAGCTTTGATATGGTCTCTCCTCGTATGCAAACGCCCCAGCCGTCGACTCCCGAGGGCTTGACCCCGGAGCCTTTGACGGATACGAACTGGCCGCTGCCGAGCCCTCTGGCAAGCCCGACGTTCGGAACAGGTCACCGGCCGCATACACCAAGTGAGGGGTCGGAAGTTCAAATGAGCCCTGGGCGCGAAGGAGCGCTCGATGCCCGACGGCCGGACTTTGGATTGAGGGCGCCAACAGGAATTGCTGATGAGTTCCGCGTAGGATTCATCTAGGTGCGGGCCCGGAGGATTATTAGGATTGTCTATCAACTGAGATGTGGAGTGCGTTTGCAGGATACATTGGGGCGTGCAGGATCGGGGATCGGGGATCGTGGATCGGGGATCTTCAGGGCGAGAACATACTATACCACGTTTGCATTGGGGTTTCGAGTTGTTTTTTATCTCGGGTAGGAAAATGAGAATGGCGAATAGGCGGCGGGGTAGGATGGATAATTCATTGGAGCCCGGTTCATAGTTATCCCATGATAATGTAATCAACCATTCTATGGTCAACATAGCAGGGCTACGGCATTCTTCATTCTTTCCAATTGTGAGGCAAGCGCGGGCGACCCTGGTGCTTCCTTGCCTGTCGATTTGGGTATTTCTCATTGTTGGTTGGAAGCCACTGGCGACAGTCACAACGAATGCGACACGCTCTTCTTTTCCTAACAGAATGAAAACTACAAACTGTGATGCGATTCTCGGGGTTCACCGCGGTTTTCCTGACGAGACGAGGAGACGGGAGCCAAGATGACATAGGCCTTTGAACAATACCTCCCGTAAGTAGCACGCGCCCCCCGCTGGAGAATGATGCTGAGGTTGCACAAGGAATGGAGACTGACGCTCTTTGCATGATTCCTCCGGATCTACAAGAAGCAGTTCAGACTTTCTAAAAATAGGTCCACGTGGCAGAGTTCTTCCAAGTACCAATCCCCATCTCCGACGGCGAAATCCGGCTGAGACGCCAGCCCCACAGCCGTCTCACAGCCCCAGACCACAGGGCTGGTGCCCTCTTGACTGTTCACTATATGAGCTCCCATTTTCGCCTTCTCCATCATCCGAAGATAGCTGCGGGCATAGCTCAGTTGGGAGAGCGTCAGACTGAAGTTAACTTCAATCACTTAATCTGAAGGTCGTGTGTTCAATCCACACTGACCGCATCTTCACTTTTGAGTCTCCTCACAACTCTTTTCATGTTGTGTTCTTCATTTTTTCTCACTTGTTTTTTTATTTTCCTTCATTTGTTTCTCATTTTTTCTCATTTGTTTTTCACTGTTCCTCATCATCCTATCCAGGTCATGAATAACCGACCAACCGACCACCTGCCCACTAATTGGAGAACTCGCTTTCTAACCATCTCGATCAACAATTACTTACAACGAGCTTGTTGGTCAAGGAATAATAGATCGTCATACAATGTCCACTACAACCCCTTGAGGCGGCAGCAACTCACACACACATGACTGTTATCAAACCTGAACATGGTGAATCTCGTCATTGCTGTTCTCGCGACTCCTCTTTTGCAACACCTTGGCTCGTCAGAGAAATTGAAAAAAGGAAGCGATCTACAAAGCCTCCATCCGGTATGGGAAAAGCATCATCCATAGCAGCGCTCGCATTGCATGTGCGTAGATCGCTCACGCACAAGGCGGCTCGGCAGTCACAGCACCGGCCGAAACAGCAGCGGAAATGCGGGGACGGCCCCCAGGGGAGCGGAACACACGCCAGGAGATCTACGCATCCGTGACTCAACGCCCCGTTTCCTTCTCCCCGGGGCTGCGCGTCCATCTTACGACTCCGCCGAGAAGTCTACGCGAAAGGCCGGAAGGCGGGAGTAGGGTTCCCAAAACGTCTCCCGCCGCACGTTGACGCTGCCCACCCCTGACTGACCCAGCTAACTGCGACCCCATCCGCGGCCCCAGAGAAATCGCCATGAATTGAAGCTTATTGTGTAGAAGCGCCTCGCCCGGGGTAGGGAATCCTGCCTGGCGGCACCATAGGACTCGCCAGTCCCGACTGCCAAGGATCGGATCCAGTTGTTTGTTCACCTATCATCTGATTCAGACTGGATCATCCCGTAGAGTGACTCGCCCAAGACCCGTTGGCAGTCTCCAGATGATGGAAAATCGTCTAAACCGTAATTGTTGCAAAATGCCTGTCGTGATATGGGCCAAGGTCGCACGCCGAACGCCCAGCCGTCTGATACTTCGACTCGGGCATGGCAGATTGCGATTCTGTCCTCCAAGTGGCTATTACCTAAGGGCATGTTATGTTAGCAAGAGCGGGAGACGAGGGTATAAGGACGCCAGAGTTCTCGAGGAAGTCAGGCTGCTTTCTGGCCCATCTCCAATCACTTCTCCATCTCCGGCCTCTCTCTATTCTGTTTCTTTCTTGTTTGTGACCCTTCTTTCGAGTGCTGCGCACTTTTCTGCTCCTTGAAGCTCCTATTGTCGTACACTATATATATATCCTTCATTCGAATTTCGTAAAGTCCCTCTTTTCCAACCAGGAGGGCAACAACATCTATACATCAAAATGCGCTACACAACCATCACACTCCTTGCCATTGGCCTCCTCACAGGCAATGCTTTGACAGGTTAGTTCGCCCTGTATCGTTTCTGACAAAACGCCGTCACCGGCTCAACCTGCTGGCAGTTAAGTAGTCTTCAATACTGACTTTTTCCTTTCCTCACAGCACCAGCCCCTCAGGCCGGCGGAGCTGTAGGCGCCTTCGGCGGCGGCGGACAGGACGGCGGAAACAACCAGGGTAACCAAAACGCTCAAGGCAACCAAGGAAACCAAGGAAACCAGGGAAACCAGAACAACCAGGGGAACCAAGGAAATCAGAACCAGGGAAATCAGGGTAACCAAGGAAACCAGGGAAACCAGGGAAACCAGAACAACCAGGGAAACCAAGGAAACCAGAACCAGGGAGATCAGAACAACAACAATGGAAACAACGGCAACAACGGCAACAACAACGGTAACAACGGTAATAACAACAATGGCAACAATGAAAACAACGGCAATAACAACGGCAACAACGGCAACAACGGTAATAACAACAATGGCAATAATGGCAACAACGGAGGCCAAGGGGGTGACGCGAACGCGGCAGCCGAATTCGAGGGTCTGGCTTGCACCGACGGGACCGGAGCCGGATCCTGCCAGGCAGACGGCCAGTGCGATGTCAACGGCAACGTTGCGGTTGTCGAGGGCCAGTGCGGTCAGTAATTGGAGAGAAACTCGTGTGGTTGTGTGTTTTCGGCTGAAGGGCCGGGTCTGACGGGACCGGGTTGAGACGGAGCCCAACGCCTCCCGCGACTGGTCCAATTTTTTCATAGTCGAGTGAAGATATACCATTACCAAATAGAAGCAAAAACGTCAGAACCCAACATCGGTATATTCACCCAGAGTGGTCAAGATGGTTGTACTGTGAGGCCTCGGATGAATCTCGGAAGCAACGTCGAGCATTTATGCGTTTGGGCTTGCTCTCCTGCTCTTTGTTGCGCTGGTGAGGTACGATGCCAGCCGTTGTCGTAGTCGCCGTTGTCGATGCTGCCACTATTCCTGGACAATTCAACACGACGAGTCAAAGGAGCTATTCACCATGTCGGATTGACAAATTCACTTCTTAGACAGTGCCCTCTTTTGCAAAAAAGAAAAGAGCCCTTATTTAATTAATGGCAGTGCCGAGTTCCCCTTCTTCACCAAGCCAGACCAGCTCAAGCAAACTCGAAATACACTTACGCCAGGCTCACTAACTCTTCTTGGTTTGTTTCACTTTACTAACCCACCAGAATCCCCTGATCCCTAGCCCGGGTTGAAAACATGTGCTACGTCTACCGGCACCGCCACGTCTGCTGCGACTGCAGCCGCATCATGTCCTCCAAAGACAAGACCGGCTGGTGCGAGAAGCGCCTCAACCCCTTCGGGCACGTCGTGCCCTGCTGCCCTGAGGGCACAAAGCTGGTCCACCTCGACTACAAGGTCATGCGCTGCGTCGCTTGCCACTTCGGTCTCACACGTGCTGTCGACACACCTTGGCGAGACACTCGATTGCCGGAACAGCGGCAAGGCCAGCACGGTGAGCCAACGGAAAGCGATGCAGATGGAGGGTCTGAGACTGAGGCCCCAGGCCTGCTGTCGGGTGTCGGCAGGTACGTGGGCCGAGTTCTCGCGGGGTGGGTGGTGACGATCCTGGGCGGTGTTCCTGTCCCACCTGACCATCCAGCCTATAGCCGTTCCTGACCTCGCCGACTTCAAGAAGAATCCTGATATTTCGTAACGAATAGAAACAAAGTATGAGTTTAGTGTTTCGCAACCCCGGCGTTGCGGAAACAAGGGCTCTGGGAATTGAATGGCCGCATCTGCTTGCCTACCACGAGAGTGAGGCCACTACTATATATACCCTGAAAAGAACGGTTTTGAGGACAACAGGAAGCGATCGGCGCATGCGTTGTTGGTATAACAGTTGTAATGTTCGTCATGGGATCCTATCTCCTCTCTGTTCTTCTTCTACTGGAACTTTTCTTTTTATTACGTATCGTTTCCCTATCGTTTTGAATAACCGCTTACCGATCCATCCAAGCACTTTCCCTTTACCTTGCCACGCCACAAGCAGACCCGTGCCCAGACTAAGCAAACGGCCAATTCTTGTTCAGCACGATACAGCTCCCATTGGACGACGACGCAATGTCCTTGTCGGTCAGGAACACGCAGTACTTGGCCACGGCGGCCGGGTCCAGCCCTGTCTCGCCGCGCTTGTACTCGGGCATGCCAGCCGTGACCTTGGCCATGCCGGCCTGGTTGATGCCGCCGGCGAAGGCGTCCATGATGTTTGTCGTGTCCATGCCGCCCAGCAGCAGCGCGACCGAGTAGATGCCCTTGTCGCCGTAGAAGCCGGCCGTGTTCTTGGTGACGGCCACGACGCCGTGCTTGGACGCCGTGTACGCCACGCCCGAGGCCAAGCCGCGGTAGCTTGCGTTCGAGCCGATGTTGATGACGAGCCCGGCCGGTCCGCCGCTGGCGCTCGCCCCGCCCTGCGCGAGGAACTGGTTGACGGCGTGCTTGCTCATGAGGAAGGGCCCTGTGAGGTTGACGGCGAGCACGCGGTCCCAGGTGTCCTTGTCGCAGTCGCCAACCGGGTCGAACCGGTCCATGACGCCGGCGTTGTTGACGACGACGTCGAGGCGGCCGAAGCGGTCGACGGTGCCCTTGACGAGGGCCTCGACCGAGGACTCCGAGGTGACGTCGACGACGGCCGTGTGCAGGCGGCCGGCGTAGGTGTCGCGGTGCTCCGAGGCGACGGCCGAAACGCGGGCCTCGTTGATGTCGGCGATGACAACGTTGGCGCCGGTGGCGAGGTACGCCTCGGCAATGGATTTGCCGAGGCCGCCGCCGGAGCCGGTCACGATGACCGTTGTGCCGGGAAGCGTGGTGGGCATTGTGAGCGAGGAGCTGTTTGTTGCGCGAGGTCCGCGTTCGGTGGCAATCTGGTTGATGATGATGCGGTATGAGTGAGAGACCTTCAACGTTTTCCACGTGGTTTTGAGCTTAGAGTGAGTGGTGTTGGCGATATCGGCAAAATGGTGTCGAATTCGTGAAGGTAACAACAAGGGACCGAGTAAAACTCACTTCATGCAAGACAAATTATGAGAGGACTGATTGATATCAAAGTCACTGACAAGAGGAGAGCCCCTCCCCCCTCCGAACAAGTTTATATAGAGAGGTCTGCATCTTCGACAGGAGGGGCGGTTGCGGGGCGGATCCAGCAGGGAATGCGCAGTTTCGATTGGGCGCTTTTCGCCGCCGTTGACGTGCTCGTGGAGGTCTCGCCGCTGGAGAGCCGGTGAAAGTCCCATCCAAGTATGTATTCTGCAGCTACTGGCAAGCAAACATGGTCTAGGTGGCATGCAGAGCAATGTGAATACCCATCCATTCTATATGCTCGGGTTCGCTTGGCTTCCCCGCTACACTGGGTTTGTTCGTCCTTGTTTATTATATACATACCTACCTATATAGATAGATAGGTATTGAGTCACGCACCGACTGACCTATTATTGTTTGGTCAATTGCGTGGTTGGCAGACTGTATTTAGCAAATACCCCTGACGCGAACTTACCCCACGCGAACGCTAACCTGAATACAATATTAACCCACCCTACCTACCTACCTACCTACCTAGCCTCTAACTCTGGACGTGGTGGCATCTGTAGCGGCTACGGTACCAATAATGAAAAACTATATAATAGTATGGATAGCTGCACTATGGAGTAAATAAAGAATTGGTTCAATGAAGCCTTGGCGCATAGGACACGACACCAGCCTCGATGATTCAGAGGTCGTTAATCATCATTCTTCATCAACTTGTTTGCGGCTCAAAAAATATAGGTGCTTGCTTACTTCGTTCTTCCAACCCAGTCAGAGACATTTTCTTTCATGAACAGAAGAAGTGAGTGAGTGAGTGACCCAGGCTGAGAGGAATCGTTCCTGGACGGACAAGACCAAGAAACATGCAAAAGGTGAAGGAAGATGCGGTCAGTGTGGATTGAACACACGACCTTCAGATAGATTGAATGAAGTTTCTAGGGTTTAAAGGATCCCACTTCAGTCTGACGCTCTCCCAACTGAGCTATGCCCGCCGCTATCTTCGTTTGGCATGAAATGCTTGTGTGGATGCGGCGAAATGGTGGCTCATATCGTGGAGTAGACGCCGAGAGGGCACCAACCCTGGGCTGTGACGGTGGAATCCGGCTGGCCCCACAACCGAGAGCTACAGTTCCGGCTCAAAAGTCTGGCTACACAAATAAGGACTGCCAATCAAAAGCTACAGTATCCATCCGTAGGTGGCTAAGACATAATAATAAGGCCTTTGTGGCGCACTGTCAAGTGACCTCGAGCTATTAACAGGTCCTCTCTTCGACTCTTTCTTAGGTTATTCTTATTGCCGTAACCGGACTTTTGAGCCGGCACTGTATGTCCACCACCATCTTCGGAAGAAAAGGCCAACTACGGAGTACAGTGCCCAAGATGCCTAGCGGGGGAGCTCCACGCCAACGAACTAGGAATCCATTCACGCACCATGCATGTCCCTTATTATGATCCGAACACAACGAAAAGAGCCATCCGTGGTTGCCAAATACACACATACAGTCGGCCGCGTTTCCAATGATACATACCAAAATGTTCGCCGAACCAGGTTTGTTGACGCAGACCACCTCCGAACCCACTTCTTCCAAGTCTATCTAGAAAGAGCCATGAACACGCAACATCTCAACGCCCCCCCTCCCCGGAACGCCTCGCTCAATGCCGTGAAATCCAAGAGCACCAATAATTCCTACCGCCAAGCTCCCTTCGTGCTTCATTCATCATCCTCCCGCACAAGTCCAACCCTCCTGTCCCTCTCCTCCCTCAATTGCTTATCCTCTTTACCCAACAACATCTTCTCCTCCACAAAGGCCGGGTCGCTGGTACGGAACTTTTCTCGCATGATACCTGACTTCGCCGTGATCTTGGTCACTGAGTTATGTGGAGACCGGTCTCGTGGCGAAATAGATGATGCCGGCCAGAGGATCCGCTGCGCTTCTTCGTCGCTCAAAACTGGTGGCGATGGAGTGTCAGAACCGGGCGCGCCTTCGTAAGAGCGTACCAACAAGGACGCTTCTAATAACGAGGTGCCTTGTACCGCTGGCGTCTCCGAGCATTCGACATCTTCATCCTCCTCGGGAATGTTAAAACTCTCCTCGGCATCTCGTATGGCTTCAGCTTCCGCCTTGAGCGCATCCGCCTTCTTCTTTGGCACTTTATCTTCACTCAGAGAAACCCCAGCGAGAGAAGTCAGTTTCGCCAAAGTCATCCGTCGATGAGCTTTTATAAACCTTCGCATGAGAAGAAGTTCGTTCTCCTGGAACGTCTGATAAAAGCCTCGGTTAACCATCGCTGCGGCGCATAGGTCGTCTACGCTGTCGATACTGCGTAGTATTTTCAATCGTAATTCGTCTGTCAAACAGTCTTTCGCGTCCTGTACCTTGCCGGGGTGTTTGGGTCGTCCTTGCAGAACGGCCTGCGGCTGCTTTGACCGGTGCCGAGACAGAGCCCAACCATGAGCGCGTCTGCTGATGTCGTGCAATGTCAGACCCGAGACGCTATTATAGATGTCGTTGATTGCCGCGCGGAACTGCGGTGTCGGATCGCAAACCCCGCCTTTATGCAGTACCTGTGGAGGACTGGCGATCGTCCGGAGCAGGTCAACGAGCTGAGCTAGACTCCTGCGAGGCGTCTGTTGGGGATTATCCAGAGTACCGAGCACAAATGGCTTGATGATTGTAGACAGAAGCTGCAACTCCCCGTAGGCGAGCATGAGCCAGCCGAGGTTCGTTGCATCGCACCAATGGCTTCCTTTAGGACACCTGGGACTGCGACTGAACACCAGCGGATCGATGGGAGTTGATATATGCGCAGACGAGCCCGGGCTAGGAGAGCGGGTCCTAACCTGCGGTATGCTGAGTCCATTCGACAGGTTTGGTGCGTCGCCTTGTTCAACGGCTTTGGACGGCGGGTGTCGTAGATATTCCTGTATTGTATTCACACAACACGCATGCACTTGAGCCATTTTCGCTACTCTCAAATTCCAAATCTTGTCCTTGATCTTCTGCGGCCACGGCAAGCTCTGCAGTTCTTCCTCGTCGACAAGATTGAGAATGGCAGTCTTCGACATGCGCATGAACAATTGCCGAAGCCCAAAGGTGTAGCTGATGAGGAGCATTCCTCCAGGCATGTCTTCACTACCTTTGTGGATCCATTGAGGCAACCATCGGTGCTCGACAACCAGCTCTAAGGGCGAGGTGCACCGATATCGTAGACAAACCTCGGCGATGGCAACGAATTGCTCGAAAGATATTTCCCGCGGAACCTTGTCGTTGTGCATATGTGCCGCGTGGAGGAGAATGGTGAGAGCCTGTTCCGAGTCGTGCTCGAGCTGCGGCATGCGATACAATCTCGCCTCGGTCCCGTCGTCGCAGATGTACGGCGTTGGAGGGTGTGCCAGCTGATCAGTCATGTCTTCGTCGTCATGAATCTCCACTTGGGCATGCTCGGTAAAAATTCTCTCAAATATAGGAGAGGTTTCTGAGAGTAGGAATGAAGACACGCGGAATCGTAGAACTGGCATGGACTCGGCTCCAAGATTCGCAAACTCGAGAATGGCATTGCCTCGGGGCGACACATTGTGCTCTTTCACAGCCCTTTCGTCAGAGACGCCCGACTCCCCTAGCTGCAGGATGCGAGTGATGGCAACGAGGTCTTGCTTGACACGATCGTAGTTCCTGAGCCGTATTATGTATCGCGGGAAGAAATCAGGGCTTGCTGAGAAAGTCTTGTCGATGCTGGTCTTTCTCATCTGTTGGATAGCAGCCGCACGGAAGTCTCTGTCCTGGAACAGGGACTTCACCATGCTCGGCGTGGCATCTGGTTCGTAGCTCGTGTACGTTTCAGAGAGGGTGAGCTCGAGGGCTTGTAGCAATGATTCGATACACTTTTTCCAGTCACGGACGGCCAATAGACAGTTATCACGAGTTGGACCGGAATGTTGCCCGCAGCTTTGCCCTGTTGTTACTTCTGAAAGGCTCTTCCCACTGGAGGAAGATTGAGTGTCCATGGTCGCTGGACTGTAGGGTACGTCGAGGGAGGATCCCCGCGATATCCCTCTGCCGTCTGTGCTAAGCGTGTTCGTCTGCCCGTTGTCTAGCGGTGTGTATGTTGAAATGCGCAGTAATGAACGACATAACGTCGCGTGATCTTTGACCTTGGTATACTCCTTGAAAGCAGCATCGGCATCCTTGTTAGAAAGTGTTGAGCGGACCCGTTGTGTTGACTGTTGGATTTGCCGAAGGTTGATCTCCGAGTCGTTGAAGGCGAATACGGAGCTAGACTTGCGAGACGAGGCCCGATCGGACGACTCTGCGAACCCAAAATCGTCGCCAGGCTTCTGTTCTCGGATCGTAAGCATGACTGGCTAGATCGGGCGGCCCGTCGCCGGCGCCATCGCAGCAGGCATGCTTGAGAATAAGAGGTGAAGAGGAAGAAGGAGCGGGATGAGAGTAATTGGAAATACGGTGAACGGAGCTCTTACCAAAAGCGTGTCATCTTTAGTGGAACCAATGGTCGAGATCTTACGCAGAGCATTGCTGAACCGTCTGATCTTGGGCGACGTTGAGGCAACATCACTGCGGCTGCGTTGGCGTCCCGTCATACTGGTTTAGCTGAGAGCCAAGTATGAAGCAGGGGCAGCGTCCGAACTCAGCAGTCGAGTACCTACCAGGGCCGACCATCTCCATCAATCATCGAGCGGGGGGGGGGACAGCATGAGTAGGGAAAAGCTAGCACTGGTTGAACGGTTCGTCACTCTGCCAATACTGGGAATAGTAGTAGCCTTTGGGGAGCAGTATGGATGTCGAGAGATAACACAAATACCTATCACATGGTCGCAGGCGATGGATCGCTTCTGCCTGGAAGTGCTGCATCCCGGCGGAGAAAGAGAAGCACGAGAACGACTGGGGCCCAGGTGGATATTGCATTTTGCCAAGCAGGGACTTCTTGTGTTTCATTGGAGGCTGACCCCTGGAGTAAGGCTGATTGCGGGGTCGGAGAACCGTGATGATGACATAATCTTGTTTGGTATGCATGGAACCCTTGGCATTCATTATATACCTCCCCCCACCAGGCCGGCAGGAAGCATCTTCAACCATGGCCTCGACTCTGCCAGGTCCTACAAGGTATAGACAGACAGGACACTCGTTGGCTTTTAAAATCATTTATTTTAACGCTTCCCGTCTATTTTCTTACACTGACACTAGTCATTGACGTCTTTTTCCGCTCCTATAATGCGGCCTTGATGGCTTCTTCTGTTGCCTCTCTCCAAAGACACATGTCCAGCCTTTCCCCGCCGGCCGGGGTATGTCATGACAATCGCAGCCGTTCTACATACAGCTTTAGACCATGACCATCCACACGCTCTCTCTTCCTCCCATCCTCTCCGTGTATCCTTTTTTTACCCCCATGGTATGATTCTGTTGACCAAAAGAAACTTGCTGACACATGCCCGAACCGTAACCCATTCCGAAAACCGTTGCCGCAGATGCAATGAGACAAATAATAGACCTTGCCGCCCGAAGTAACGCAACAGACCCTTCCCCCCCTCTCACACATGCGTTCTTGATCGGTGAAAAAGACGACTGAGGCAAGACAACGGCCTCTCTGTTTTGGATGCTCGAGTTAACGCTTCACGTCGCCTGAAGCCCGACTCCCCTTCCTGTTTTGCAATTCGTCGACATTCCGGTGCACGATGAGTCTCGCACACTTTCGCTGGCTTCGTTTTTCATTCAAAATTGGTTGAACCGGGCCATCGTCGAGCAAAGCGGGCTTGTTGATAATCGAAACTGCGGAAGGTGCTTGTCATAGCACCCAGTCCAACCTCGCATCCGATCCATCGCCTCCATTGTTTTGTGCATCTCTTCTCGCAGCTGTCCATGGGCATAAACCTGCCAGGTACGCATGGCAATGCCTGACTCCTTCACCTGCCCCGCAGTTTATGTTCGATCCAGAATACGAGTGTCCAACATTTTGTCCGTGACCAAAGCCGACGACGGAATGCCAGCAACTTGTGCCCATGCAGTTCTTCATCACACTGAGCCGTATCCAAAGAAAACAATGCTAGCTTTCTGTCGTGTCAAGGGAACCACGGCGGTGTGCAGACGAGTTTGTCAGTTCTCAAGGCATCAGCCGCCCTTTCGGTCCGCCTCGTGCTTGGGCGGCTGCTCTCCCGAAGCGAGCCCACTGCCCAGGTTCTTGACGTCCGCGCCCTTCTTGCGACTTTTGGTTGCTTTTTGCCACGTACCATCGGCGCCATGGCTTTCGCTCTTGACGCCCCGGGTGTGGCCGTTCTCTCGAATGCCATTGACCCTGGGTGATTGAGCCGGGGCCTGACCAGACGTCTGCGAATGCGACTGAGGTTGCGTTGCTGCTTGAGCTGAGCGCTGTGTGGCTGCTGACAACCGTTTTGGTGACTGCGCCGATGTATGAGCTTGCTTGGGCTGGTTCACAGTTGATACCTTGGTTTCGTTCCCTTTATGCCCAGGAGCAGGTGGATCGGTCTGGACCTTGGGTGTGGCGTTCTGCGCAACGGACGATGACTGATCGGCTCTCGGCGGATAATCACCCTTTCTTATGACGGTCGGCGAAGGAGATCGGGTCTCGTTGATTGGAGAAAGGTGCTGAGCGTCGATGCTCAACTGGTGACCGTTCATCCTGTTGTCCCGGGTGGCGAGGTCGAGTGGCGCTATCACACCGCTTTGCTGCCTTGCCATGGCTCTCTGGCGCAGAGATGTCTGAGTGCCATTGACAACTTCCGGTTGCACCTGCGTTTGCGAGGCCCACCCATACTGGTTCATTGACATGAGCGCGATTCTGTCACGGAAAGAGGGATCATCGACAGGCCGAGGCGCAGAAGAAGGAGAGGTCAATGCTGCTGCCGCTGCTGCGTTGGTGGCGGTCGGGGTAGTGGTACCGTTAACAATCAGCGGAGTCCGCTCGGAGACTGGAGTCTGAGCTGGTTCAGGCCTGGTGGAAGACTGGACATCGCCCTGTTCAACAGTAAAGCCACTGATACCAAGCCCTTGAACCTGTAGTGACTGCTCCTGGGATGGCCGCCTTGACTCATCAGTGTTGGAATCAGCAGCAAGTCCTGTTGGATCCTGACGTTGTAACGGCGTGGAACTTGTCCGCAAGGATGACCCGGTGCCATTGACTACCAAAGGTCGTGAGGCCGTCCGAGGTCCGTTGGGATTGACCGCAGTTGTTGCTTGACCCGGTGCGGCTGCGGTGCCGCTCGTGGAAAAGGCTCGAGCATGGCCTAGAGGAGAGGGCGATCGCGATGTTCTTCGCATTCTGCGATCCAAAATAGTCTGCGGGACTTCGGTTGACAGTCTTCGACGTCCCTGGGCTGGCTGTGTCGTGTCGCTAAAGGCAATAGCATTGGGAGGACCTTGCGAGCGCGCCGGACTAGATGTGTCTGAAACGTAGTATCCCAAGTAAGCTCCTTCGTCCGAGGCTGGCGACTTGCTCGCAGGGTGCTGGGGGGCCTCGTCGTAAACAGCATCACCAGGAATGAAGTTTGGGATCGGAACTCCATTCACCTGTCGTGCAGGATTCGCGCTGCCATTCGCCGGGGTGCTGGTCCCGGGATAGCCTTGACCCTGCTGTGTTGCAGGAGCGGAACGTGAAGCAGGTTGCGATTGCGACCTCAACGAACTTCCAGAGGTCGAAGCGCCAGACTCTGTTGTCGCCGAAGATCTCTGGAGCCCTCTGCGATACTCTGGAGTGGCGGCCGTTGCAGCAGTAGCCGGCGAGGAAGCATAGGCAAGCCCGGACTGGCCATAGTAGGCGGCAGCCATCGGAACGCCGTACATGCTGTACCAATCCTGAGGCCCGGCGATGGGAGCACTGAGTGGAGGGTTGTCGAACGAGTTGGTCCTAGGGCGTTCTGAGCCTTGCTGCGATGTCGAGGACGAGCCTTGCATCCTCTGGGCAGCATGTATTTGGGCAGCCATCTGAGCCTGGACCTGCTGGTAAACCTGGGATTGGGTGTAGAGCTGGAACCGGATGTTATTCTCTTGCTGTAACTGGGCGGCCATGGCTGCACCTACAAGCGCGGGGTATTGTTGATGTGACTGAGCCTGCTGCGCGTACCACGCAAGCTCCTGAGGAGTCATTGCCACCGAAGGCATGTACATGGTGTTAGTATCATAGGCTACGCTTGAAGAGGCTCTTCGGTTCGAGTTCGTATTCCGGTGGAAGTTGTTGGTGTGCCGTCCTCGGTAGTTCCCACGCCCGCCTCTTCCGGAATTTTGCTGAGAAGAACTGCGAATCATGACGGGTCGAGCTTGTGTTGGCGGCCGTTGGAATGTCGGTGTTTCCTCCTTGGGGTAGACATACTTCTCGCAGCACTCATCCAGCTTCCCTTCCGAGATGAGGTCGAAAGCTCGCCGCAACTCCAGGTGAAGTCCGCGGAAAGAATATTCGTCTGCAGTATTGCCCAGGTTGCGGATGGTATTGAATGGCTCCTCCACACATAAATGGTTATTAATGCCGATGTGCCAGCCCTTCTCCTGCTTCGTCACTTTTCGTCCGAGACGGATCGAAATGGCGTTATTGTCGTAATCGAACTCGTGCGCGTAAAAGCGAAAGAACTGGAAAAGGAGCTCCCCAAGCGAGGCCTTATTCTTGTCGCCGAACCCACGTAACTTGTCCAAATCGTCCGCAAATGCACTTTCTTGTCCGCCTCTCTTAGGTAACCGCTGATGCTGTCGCTGGTGAAGTGAAGGGAGAACCGGGGGGTCACGAAGCTGCAGGAATCCGATAATCAGGCAGATCCACGTGTACGAACTGAGGGTACCGCCAAAGGCTGGTTCGGTTAGCAAACATTGACACACCAGAAGCCAGCACGCGGGAAGCCATACCAGCGTCGTTGACGATCCTCTGCCGCGTCCAGTACTTGACGATCATGGCCAACGGCCGCACACGCGGATCGATTTCTACGTATGTTCGGACCATCCTTGTGTTCTCCAACGCCAGGGTGTTGTTCACATTCATGTCGCAGGCGAGGCCGAGTTCGGGGTCCCAAATCTTGACAATGGGCACTTTCGCGGCGGAAATACAGACGACCTTCTTCATGCCCTCTGTTCAGGTTTCGTTGATTAGCGAATGTTGAGAAACCAGGAGCATACGACATACTTCGCGCCAGCAGATCTGCAATTATGCAAACCCCCTCCAATTCCTTCCACGGCGTCGTGATACAGATGTCGACTGTTTGGAGCGTTAGCGTTCAGCACACTGGAAGGCGAAAACGAAAAGAAAAGAGTGAGATGGCCACGAACCGTCCGAGTCGTCCGAACACAGCAAGTTGCCAGATGAACCGAATAGATTCACGCGGATGTCATTTCCAGGCCATTCCTCGTTGAATATCCTCTCCAACTTAACGACGAGCTTTTGACGGTTCTCCTCGACTTTCGCGGTCGGTGTTAACCGGTCGTACAATTTGCGCATATCTGTGGTCAACTTCCGCTCCTCATCTTCTGACAGCTTGCTCTTGACCTTGTCCAGAGTCGTCCGCTCCAGCTTGTCGCTCCCTATGCTATAAGGCATTCTCCTTTTCGAGTTCATTTGGGACGTCTCATACTGGCAACCGCCCATGAGTCGCGGAGGCAGAGGTCGTAAGGAGGGGAGGTTGCTGTTTGTCTCCGAGTAGGCAGAGCGAGGGGAATGGTTGTTCGTTGCCGTAGGCGATGGCTCTCGGGACTCGAATGAGAAGTTTCTAGCATGCTGCTGAGGAGTAGAGGGCATCGAGTTGGAGTGAGACTGTCCATTACCGGCCCGGGCTGCAGGACGGGCGGGGAGGGGATGAGAAAGCTCCGGTTGTCGGGATGACTGCTGCTGCATCTTGGGCGGAGCGTCCTTGCCTGTTATGACAGCGCGATCGCCTTTCTCTTTGTTCTGCACGGCTCTATGCCCATGGCCTCCTTGGGTGCCCTTAGTCGCGGGGTTGTCCTTGTTCGACACCTTGGAGGAGGATCGGGACCGAGGGGCCGCCTGGATCTGAGGGGTGGCCACCGTCGTCTGAGGAAGCGCTTGGGGTTGTTGCAAGCCGCCTCCTCGTCCGGGAGAGACGAGATTGGTGTAGTGTAGCAACTGCGCCTGGTATACGGAGGCTTGTTGGGGAAAGAGAAGGGGCCAGAAGTCTAACTGGGCCGGGGCGCGGGAGGCGTCGGGGAAGTAGGAAGCCGAAGTCGCCGATACTATCGTGGGGGTTTGGATCCAAGGAGACGTTGGATAGGTATGCTTCGATTCTGTTGTAGTGGCCCGACTTTCCATGGAGTGAGACCTGGCTCAACTTCCGTAAGGAGGGTGGACGGGAGGAGGCAGATGCGGGCGCAGGGCGTCAGCGGCGGCGGAGAGAGATCGAGAGCGAGATCTAGGAGCAGCCAACCGGGTCTTCGCAGGTGGAGCAGAGCTGGCAACGACGAGGGAATGCGAGGGTATCGAGGGAATATAAAAAAAATAAAACGAGTCGATTGCTAGAACACGATTGGGAGAGGTGGCCACTGTTCGAGGAGGTTGAATCTCTTTCTCTTTCTCTCTCTGGCTCCGAGTCTGTTTCTGTGTCGGCGGATGCGCGTGCGGACGAGGGGAGGTTTGGGTGGAAGAGGGAGTCGGGAAAGTTGGGCAGTTGTTGAGCCGTTGCTGGCACAAGTAAAGTGCTACTAGAGACGTGCGAATGGACTGAAATAATCATCTAGGTCCAGACACGGTCTGGTGTGGTTGGGTGCAGCGAGTTGTTGTGGCAGAGAGCACTCTCCTTCCTCTTTGCAGTCTGCGTCGTTGTGCTCTGGGGAAGAGGGAGAGAGTGTCGTCCACGGCAGGAGGCGAAAGAATGGGTGTGGAGTTCAGATTGGGAACATTGACCCAAAAGCGACAGGAGTGGGCTGGGGGGTGTCCTCGGGCTGTGGACCGTGAAATAACGATGGGGGGCAGACACACAGAGAATGTGGAAAGGGTCTAAGGGGCAGGGTAGATGGTAGGTAGGTAAGGTGCACCACACGTAGTTGCCGCCACGGATTTATCTGTGAGGAATTGTGATGCCGGACTCTGCACTCTTGTGTTATTCTGCCACTTACTGGTCAAAAGCAAAGTAGAAACGAAACAAGGCCGACAAGAGGTCTAGCAGGTGATTATTCAGAAAAAAGTGAGAAAACAAAATGATGTTCCAGAAGTGAGAGAGTGAAAGTGAAGTGTAAAGGGCAGCGTTTCGTTTGGGTCGCAAGGAAGGAAGGTACCTGAGTCCAAGGAAGGCAAGGGTGTGTGGATGAAGGAGGTATCTGAGTACGGTCGTGGTGTATGTACCCCTTTACGCGAAAAGAGTGCGGCACTGGGGAGCGAGGTAGGTAATAGGTATTTTGGGTATTTTGGGTATTTTGGGGGGGATGGATAATAGCGAGCAGGGGCAAAGGCGAAGTAAGTGGTAAAGTACCTAAGTAGGTGCCCAAGGAGCGAGCTAAGAGGGCGAAGTCGGGGAAGCAAATCAAGGCGAGGCGAGGTCAGGTCAGCGGAGGTAAAGCCGGACGTAAAGAAAGGAAGGTAGGTGGTATGGATTGCTGGCCAGTTGTGCTGGGCATGTGTGTGGTGTGTGTGTGTGTGTGTGTGTGTGTGTGTGTGTGTGTGTGTGTGTGTGTGTGCCGGGTACACGTTCGCCGCCCAGATCGCTAGGTACACTACGAGGTACGCACTGTAAGAAATTAGAGACTAGCACCGTAAGGACAGAGGGTAGTAGCGCCTTTCCTTGAGGGAAATAAAGTGAGGGGTTCGGCAGACGGGAGGGAAATGCCGTGGTAGCAGCAGCGACAGCGACAGGCACTGCAGGGTCAGTTAGAAAGTAGAGTGTTTGACCGATGTGATGGACAATCTAAAGAATAAAAATAGAGTAACAAGTAAAGTGATTTGAAGAGTCGGACACGGTGCTATCCGACGTGATTCAGCACAGCGCAGTTCGGCGAGGCGTCACAAACTATTGTCGGAATGGGTGGAGTAGATATCCTATCTAATTGATTGCTGGTCAGCTCAACTAAGGTAGGGTAGCCAACTCAGTCTGATGTGGCCTTGACGCGCTTTAAGAGAAGGGAGGATATCTGGAATAAAGCAGGCACACGTTCAATGTAGGTAATTAATGTACCACAGCAAGGTTTCTGCGTACAGTCGGGATTCGATGGCAAGGGCAAATAGGAGAAAGCTAGCAACAGCACCAACATACCTAGCTAGGTACGTGGATTGCCAAACCAACCCAGCCAACTATCTTGCGGACGGCCCCGGGGGATGCAGATTGGATTCGGTCTCAATAAGGCCAATGAAGAGCCTTGAGACGGAGAAGATCTCCCAGATACGAACAGAACTAAGTGCATTTGAGGCAGCATCAGTTGGGCTGTTGGTACCATGGCATCTCCCAACGACGCTCGCTGTGAATAAGCCAAGGAAAGGAAGGCATTTACCCTCACCTCACCCTCGCACCTTCCTTCTTCGCTGGACGTTAAGTACCTAGCTAGGTAGGTAGTAGGTAGGCACATAGGCACCTGTGTGGTGGTAGTGCTGGGTTGGATCTTCTGGATCTCTCCTTCCCCATTGCCGTTGCTTCTCTTGTCCTATTCGCTACATGGCTACCTACTACCTGCATTCTAATCATCATACTCGACCCTGGCCTCCTGCTCAAGAGGTCTCCGTGTCGACGCGTCTGCTCCCCTCGCCCATCGGTAGGCAATCTTGAAAATATGGGAATCACATTACCGACCCGAGTAAGGAGGTACATTGCCAGCCCCGCATCCCTCTACAGCGAGGAAGCGGAGAGTAGGGGTCATCTGTTATGCCATGCCGATATCCACAGTGCAGGCACGGAGCGCGCGGGCAGGGGCAGTAGTAGAAGTGGGGAAGACGACACGCTCCGGACGCAATTTGGGGCCATTTACGGATAGAAGAGAGGGAAAGAGAGGGGAGGGGGGCCATTTCACAAAAGTGCCCCGTCCATGTCCCGTCGCAGTCCTGGCGGAGTCTGGTCGCTCGACAGTCGACACACCCATCCTGACTGCGCCTTGCCGCTGTCCACAGGTGCGACCCCTCAGGATTTTTAGTGGTTTCCTGCCCAGACATCCAGAGCAATCCAGCCTACATAGGTAGGGTAGTGTAGGAATCTTTGGGTTGGCCGCGTTTTGGTACCAACTCCCAGTTGCCATAGTGTACCTGTACATACATACCTAGGTAGCTAATTCTGGCTACGTACAAATACAGGGGGTAAGGGGGAGACAGACATACAGACAGACAGACATACAGACAGGCGCTGCGTCCCTCCGACCGTTACTGCTGGGTCTAACCAGCTCCTGTGTGTCGGGGTATGACGTCGGAGGGCCGGCGGCCACTGGCTTGCTAGTTACCTATTTTGTTGGAACGGGTCCCCTTCAAACAATGATTGTTTGTAGTCCTCCGAGCCGAGGCGTTTGCTGGATGCTGAAGAGGAAACTTGAAAAGAAAGTAGGCTTATGCGTGTGCGTGCTGTCACTATCCCTCTCCCTCTCTCCCCTATCCCCCAGTGAAGGGGGGGGGGGATTACTCTCACATTTGAACTCCATGGTCATCAACAGTTCACCAATGTGCTGGGATGGGTGTGCCACCTCAGTAGGGAGGGGTCATGTACCTCTTCGTTAGTAAGCTTGTGGCACCAGCTTCCATGCACTTGAGCCAATATTCCAGCGTGAGGCATTTGCCTTACCTATTCCCTCGGAACGTGGAATGGGCCCTGCCTTCCTCATGTCCAGTGTTATGGTCTTTCCCCTTCTCCCCTGCCTCCCCATGCCCCCCCATGGAAGGAAGAAGGAAGAAGGAAGGACGAGAACCGGAGTCTGTGGTGGGGTACGGATACCCCATACCTACTTCGCCTGTCTTTTCCACCTGCGCGGTGCACCTGCATCTCACCCTGCCATGCACGTACCATGTACACAGATACATTAGTTCGCGATTACGGATACATAGTTGTCTTCTTCGACGGGGGAGAGTGGGAGGGGAGTCTCCGGCACGAGATGAAGGACGACGGCCAGAACGTCTTCGAATGCGATGCACACCGGTTATCCGCATAGGACATCCCTAGGCCTTCTGAGGTCGGTTTGGTTATTCCTTTTTTCCCCTTTCCTTTTCCTATCTCGTACTCCTCCTATTGCATTACATCACCTACACATCTACAACCCAGGTAGTCAACGCCTCGTGCTGTTTTGTCCTATCTTGTCTCGTCTCGTCTTGTCTCGCGGCCTGTCACTTCTCCCTCTTATTTTATTTCTACGGATGTTCTATTTCCTATCGCTCTCCTCCCGCCCCCCTGCCAGCACCATCTAATTGCACCACCGTAAGATTATCAGGGTCCCGATACTATGGCCACCTGAATGTCCTTCCAGAGACCCAGCTGGCAGTGGAGACCGGCCATGAACATCCCGGTCAGCCAGAAAGGACACACGATAATGCCTATCGAGACTGCGTACGGATACCACAAGGCCTCCGAGAGCCCTGTCAGACAAGGCACTTCGACAACCCCCCGACGGCAACGTTCCAAACCTATTCCAAGCCGGGCCAACAATGAACGAGGATCCAACCCGCTGCCCCTTGAAGTTCCCAAAGCAAGCCCGATCGTGTTCGCACATTGCCTCTCTCCTCTCCGCAGTCACCCCGATTTTCTCGACCGCCTTCTCGTAGTCTCGGTTCCTTTCGGGGAGGGCATGGGCATTCACCATCCCCGGTCACCCCCTTCTCCGTGCGTCTTGCCCATGGCCTGCCATCGCTATTAGGTATGAGCCAAAGGTTCAATAGGAGTACGGAGTATCCGTAAAGGCACACCCTTTCCGATACCCGTGCCGATCCGGTCGTACACCGAAGCCCTTGAAGGACTACGCCATAAGCCCAGTGGCCCACATCAGCTTCTTCAGCGTTCCTCTATCTCATGTACGCTTGTGGGTCGGTCAGCTCCTGCTATGCCCAAGACGCCGCCACAGTACAGCACCGTTCATACACCAGTAACAACCCCAAACGTCGAAGCGGCAAGGCATCGCCAATTGTAAGCACGCTCAATAGCTGACAGCACAAGATGCTCCGTTGAGGAGCAATCGCCTCCTTCTTACGCATCATCATCATCTGGCACAGTTGCCTAAGCGCCTCGGGAGGATCGTCATATTGCTCCGTCGGGGCGGCTGACAAAACCACCTTTTCCTCAGAATAGATTTGCCAATCCACGGGCCACTGGTTACAACTGTCATGTGCCACATTGCATGTCCCCAGCTACTCAGCTAGTGTGACAGCATTGCCCCTTTGGGGCTGGCTGTCGATGCGAGACACTCCCCTTAGCTCGAAAGTGGTAAGTCAAGCATCAGCACTTTCGCCATTTACTGCGATTGCCAAGTAAGGGGGGACATTTACAGATGATCACCGGAGGTATGTATATCACGATGCAGCCTGTGAAGCCGGCCTGTTGTCAATCCTGACTCTGCCCAGAGCAACATATCGATGACAGCCCCGGGACTCTGTTCGGTACGAACCTTCAACGTTGCGGTGGCTGGCCAGCAGGCTCCTCTCTGCACGTATAATAGTAACTGTAGGTTCTTGTGCTGAGTAGGACGGACGAGGTGCGATCCTCCGCGAGCAGCCAAGCATGAATGGCGAAACGTCCAGAAAAGCATTCGATAAGTGACTAAGCCTTGGCAGCTGAGCTGCTTATCCTCATTTCGTCTCCCGCCTCAGACATTCCTTCTTTCATCGTACAACAGCGATTTCCGACCGATCTTTCATTCGGACCTGAAGTCACACTTCTTACGTACACGAGAGCACAGCATGTGGTTGCTTACTTTAGCCAGCACATAAAATCGCCAACCACCGAGGCAACCTGAGTCCGCATACCACCCATGCTGCTGACTCGATTGAGGAAGGGTTAAATCACAGCCAAACGAACAGGACTTTTTGATCGAAGTTAACAGGCTGACGGGATCATAGTCAGCAAGTCACACGTTTCCATTCATAGCCTCAACGGCATTTTCAAGTGTACCGGTGATAGCCCGCTCTAGGCGGCGATAAGTATTGGAATGCTGCTCTAGCTCGATTCCATATAGTGCCACCTGTTCAGAGCTAGACCTCATCCTCCGTCTGACGATCTCTCTACGATTTAGCCTACAAACACTATAGAGCCGAGCGAACCAAGTGCGGCCTGTTGAAGTACCGGAGCAACTCTTGAGGCTCCTTCTTATGGAACGGTTGTTGCATAGCCCGCAAGGGTACCTGATGAGATATCGTCATCGACGTCATAGCTTCAATGGTCTCCAACGCACGCATCGATATTGCTTCTCGAACGCTTCCTTCCGGTCACCAACGGAGCCCGGGCAGGCTACGTCTGCGCTTGCCACTGGCTGTGGGTTTGCGGGAGATGCACTTCAGTACAACCCAATATGACAGCCATGTCATCTAACCCCAGTTATGCGTTTTGTATCTATCCTATTAGGCTATTCTAAAGTCCGAAAAGGACGGGCCAGTTACGCTTAGAGTAACTCGCCTAGAAAAAAAAAGGGATGCAACCCTCAATGAGATGCATCCCAGCATGCAGCGTGGAAGGCATACGACCTCTGGAGCGAGTCATTGTGCGAAGCTGGTCTGATACATTAGCCGTCTCCCTCAATCTTGCTCGGCCTAATTGACAAGTTAGTCCTGTATTCCCCCTTCCAGTGTAGCAGCAAGGACGATCACGTTTCTGAGGAGGCATCTGACATGTGGCGATGGGCGAAAAGTGCTACATCTGGACTCGGCCAAAGACTAACACCACTCAGAAGACACGCTCTGCAATCCAGACCTCAGTCACCCTTACCACGATGCCGTTCATCATTGGGGTTATCGGCTGAGACCCCGTTCTCTCCACCTGAACGATGTACCTCCGCAATCAAACGTACATAGTACGGCGGAAGGTGATCCGTGAACGCTTCCCGTTCTCCACATTCTCGCCTGCGGTCTCCCTTAATTCAAGGGCGCCAGAATCAAGGTCAGTTCCGCCAATCTGCTGATGGGACGGACCCAACCACCACATTCGGTTGGTGCCAGTTCTGAAAGCTCCGATGTCTCCCACACAAATCAGCTTCCAGAACTTGGTATATTGTCCCTGGCATCAGCCCGTCAGTGGCCGGCTACCATTTACTCGAAATGAAGAGACCACCGGCGGAGCAGAACGGAGCTCAAGAGCGCACGCTACTTTAGCCGGTCCGATCAGGTAAAGGCAGAGAAGTAAGCGCCCCTGGTCCATGCATGGAGCATACTGTGGTACAAGTGGACCGTTACGACTGGACATTTCCATGTTTCAATCAGCGGGTTTTTGTGTCTCTGGGTTAAACACACCCACACTCCCTCGACTCGACCAAGGGCAACATCGACGATCAAGTGGTTCCTCATGACATCTTCGATGACGCGGGTATTGACGGCACTCTGTGCCCGCATTCCGCCCTGATCACCAGCGCACAGTCTGAGTACTCGCGACGCCCTTAATCCGAGCGACGGCCAAGCGCAGTAGGGAGTACGGACGACGCTTTCATCTTTTCAAAGTTAAGTGACCCATCCCGGGAGTCCAGGTGCTCAAGTGAGTCGTGCCTGTATAAACATTCAGGTGTTTCGGCGGAGACTGTCCGTCCGAAGAATGTTAGAGTGCGTTCCACAACGCGCGCGCAAGTATGCTCCTAATCCTACAATCGAATCTTCGAATCGTGCACGCTTCTAGGATATCCATTGTCCTCATCTGCCTTCCTATCTTTGTCTACAGACATGTGACTCCAGTTCCGATTTAATTACGAGCCATTGCCCTGGCTTCTGGGTATGGGCATATGATGACCAAGGGGAGCGGTGTCCCTTATTGTATTCCCCTCAACATTGCCAGATGTTTGAGGCCGTTCGATCTGCTTTCTTCATCCTGTTTAAGGCAAGCTCCCGCATCACTGATTGTAAGCGAGACAATTGGCCGTTCTCTTCCCCTCCCCCCCTTTTTGCCCATTTTCGTTATTCGAGCCTCTTCGCATGTCAGGAGGCTCTGGGCACCGTACCGGCACCCTGGAATCAGGAACTGGCGTCGGCACCACACCCGGCTGACATCCGCGCCGGTCCAACCTCCGCATATGTCATCTTGTCGGGGGAGATTAATCTAGAGTTCAGGGGCTAAGCATCGAGGCAGGAGATTTTGACTACATCAGCCAGTGGACTCCAAGTCTTGCGCGGCATGGCTCTCCTGGCGTTCGGCCAGGAGTTCAGGGTTTTCGCTAACAAAACATGCGACGTCCCCTGTATCGAAAGTTTCAGGAGCTCGCCGGAGCTTCTCGCCGGCCCCCTTCCCCCCTCATAGTTCATCACATCAAGAGTTCGCAGGATGTCGCCGCCGCCGCCATAAGCATGTCGGGCCACATTTCACTTTCTTTTGTCACTGTTCTTCCTCATCCTCGCGCTGCCACCTGCTTAATTCACCGTGGTAATCTTGCGTTTGCACTACATCTAAACACAGCCTAAGCCCACTTGATCCTTGCCCGCCCATTGCTTCGCCTATCGCGCTGCTCGTTCCTACGAATTGTTCTGCTCTGCTTTTGAGACGCACCTGGTCTTGGGGGCTGTTTACAGACGACCTTGACGCATTGTCGTTACCCACACAGATCTGCTTCTTTCTCGACGGGATCACCATCATGCTGTCGAGCCTGACGACCAAGATCGCCCTCAAGAAGGTCGGGCTGAACAGCAAGAGCTTCGACTTCGGCGGGGGCTCTTCAGACACCAAGAGCAAGAGCGGCCCGGGCAATGACGACGCTGTGAACGACCGACAGGGCAACTGGCCGGCGTGGATGTCGATGAAATCTCTCCCCATCACCGTGGCGCCATGGTTGACCCCGCCGCCGCCGCCGGTGCCTGTCGCCGAGGTCCCGAAGATCGGCGACCTGGCCCCATTGGACCGCGACAGGAAACTCGAGTTCGGACGGGGCCGGCCCGTCCTCGTCGTCTTCCTCCGCTGCGTTGGCTGTGCCTGTACGTTATTGCCATGATTCTTTTCCACCCCATCCCGACCCGTTGTCGTGTTACACCTCACGAAGACGCATGACTAACATCTCCTCCCGCCTATAGTCGCCCAAAAGACCTTTCTTGCACTGCGGGCGCTGGCGAACAAGCACGCCAACACGCTCACATGCATCGCCGTTTCGCACTCGTCGTCCGCCGCCACGCAGAAGTGGATCGACATGCTGGGCGGCGCGTGGAACGTCCAGGTCGTCATCGACGAGGACCGCGCCATCTACGCCGCCTGGGGCCTAGGGCTAGGGTCGGTATGGTACGTTTTCAACCCGACGAGCCAGGTGCAGGGGTGGAAGGAGAAGGGATGGCTCGGAGAGAAGGTCGCGGGCGCGATCCAACGGACCGGGACGGGAGCCGCGTCGCCAAGTCCTGCGCCTGTCCAGAGACGGGGGACAGGGAGCACCAACCAGAAGGGCGGCGTCACACCGGCGGGCGGCGCAGCGGCAGGGGACGAGATCGAGGGACCTAGCACGGTAATGGGGAACAAGTGGCAGACGGCGGGCGCATTCGCGGTCGATGGGAGGGGAACGGTCGTTTGGGGCGGCAAGGCGTTACGGGCTGACGATCCGATGGACTTGGAGATCGGAGCCCAGATCTTGGGCTTGTAGACGCCGGCTGCCATCTGCCATTTGATTGAAAATTTGTCACACTTGATTATCTACGGGAACTGGATTGGACAGAGCGGCGTTCGCGAAGCCTGGATTCGGGATCGGCACCTTAGGTTGGAAGAGGGGCCTCGATGAATATCATATTTTAGAATGTGACCGGCATGTTGGCCTTCCGAATTTCCGGGTCTCGTGCGTGATTCTCTGTTGGATATATTCTTGCGAGGCAGGCGATGTTGCGTGGTCACAGCGAGGTCACATCCGGTGGCGCGAGCTCGGCGAATTGCTGGAATCCATGGAGGGTTCATGGGCGAATACGCACACTGGGGCTCGGTTCCTTACTTTTTCCGTTTTTCTTCTTCTCCCTTTACCCCAGCGGAGACGTCCCAAAGCTGCAAGTGGAATAAGGAAGCGGGACGCCGCCGGCACTTTCGCGGGGGCAGCGCCCAACGCGGAGAAGTTCAAACGCCGTCACTGCCTGTGCCTCTAGCCCCTAACCCCCGCTAGTCTCCATTGTTCCCACCGAGGTCACCGGGGGAGGCGAGGGCCAAGTGATGGAGGTCCTGTTGGATGCCCGTCGACACAATACGGTAGAGCTATTCCGAGAGAGAGAGAGAGAGGGAGGGAGGGTCGCTAACCTGTAACGTGTCTTGGTCCGCTCGAGCGGTAGACCGGCGGGTCTGATCCAAGGCTGACTTCCGGGGGGGGCCCTCTCGCCTCCTCTCTCGAGATCTGGATATGTGCTAGACTATCTAGGCTGTTGGTCTTGAAGCCGGAGAGGCGACGCGAGACGCCTAGCGTGGGCAATATTGAAGCGGGTATCTTGGCCCCAGCAGGAGTTGGTTGGCTGTCTGGCCGTCTCGTTGGCCGTTGGGCCGGCCTGCATCTCAAGGCCCTCCATCCCTCCCTCCCGGGGCGGCCCGGCTCCACTTACCCGGTTGCTACGCCATCTTCTTCCCTCTGCATGTAAGGCGGACGAGGGGTTCATGCAGCCAGGAGACGGAGGGGCCGGGGGGTTGGCATGGGCGGTATGGCCGGGTCGGCGCCGGGCCGTCCCAACGAAGTGCCCCTTGCCGCGCTCTCACCCACAGTTGGCTCGTGGCTTCGTGCTTAGTTTGGGGAGTGTTGGGGACTTCCTCGAGGAGCATGACGCATGGTACCCCCCGCGAGACAAATGTTGTTCACGATGGGGACAAAAGAGTGGCAAAGAGGAGAAAGTCCTCCGACGGGGGGGATGCTGGCGTTTTCCCACCCTGGTCAAATGCCGACGAACGATGTTGGTCGGCTGAGACGAGCGCTGCGATCCAACGAGGTGGAGCGTTTCTTGCATCATACTAACAAGCTAGGCCCTACGGGACAGTGATGAGTAGACGGGGCAGCAAAACAAAGGGGGGGGAAGGGGAAAAGGGTGAAGGAGGCACAGAGGGGAGCTGGCCGAGAAGAATACCAAACCCCAAGGAAGTGTTGCCAAAAATGAGCCAAGCCCCGTCACGCCCAGGACGACGACGTTGGACGAGTCTTCTCAAGTTTGGCGTATCGACTACACATGTATCCGTACAATCAAATCTATTCCCAAACCGACCCCCCCCCCCCCCCCGCCCCTGACTCGCGGCTGCTTTGTGTTACAGATGGACTTGCGTTGTTTGCAAATTCCGCAAAGTAGATCAGCTTTTACGGACAGCAAAGAGATTGACAATAGCAGCAGAACCTTGCGTCCAGGGCCTCTGCTTTTAATAGCGTCAGTAGGGCAAGTCCATGCAGGTTCGCTTCAGTAACACGGAGCTCGGTTGAGAACGGAGACTCCTGTCATCCAGAGGAGACTAGCCTCGGGTTTGGCTTTTGACATTCGGTGCTGTGAGTGTACCGGCTCGCCACGACCTAATCAGAGCTGCCCGTGATGTCTGTACAAATGTCACACATCAGCGCAACCGACGCGTAAGCGCCATCATTCACAAGAGCAATGGTACAGGATCCTTTCTGGATGTGATCCCGGGGGGGGGGGGGGGGGTGTGTGGTGACCTTTTCTCCCGCCGGTTCAGGGGTTGGGCGGCCCCCCACGGAACCTCCCGCGGTAAGCCACACCACCACACCGGTTTCCGCCGCCGCGCCGCCGCCGCGCCGGCCGGGATCGCCGTGCCCGGATCGCGTCCAGGCCAGAGTGTCTATCGCGTGCCTGCCTCGTTCCACGGTCCGTGTGCCACCGTCAGATGGCTGTCCGAGCGGTCGAGCCACGGAGAGAGAAGGGGCAAACCTGGTTGATGGTGTCTTTACACTTTCAACTTTATGTTTATTTTTACAGTATATATTCCGATTTTTGAAACCCTGCACCCGCGCTAAAGGCTGCTTCCATCTTGGTGGCTTCGTCCCTTGACGACTATCGGTTCGAAATCTAAATGTAGGCCCTACGGGACCCTCTCCCCCCTCCCTCTTACCTGGCGATCCACACGAGGAGTCATTGCACACCCATCGGATTGTCTCCCCGTCAAGGCATGCAACGCAATGCCGTAAGTTCAAGACAGACTCAAGGTTCGGACCTCCTCAGACACGGAACTTTTGGCCAGTTGGAAGGTACTCCAATCATTCGTGTGGTCGTGCCCATCCGTTATAGACATCAGAAAACACATGCGGTAATCACGCGAAGAGCACGCGATGGGCAGGGAAACCAGACGAACCTGGGGGGACCAAGAAAGCATGTGTTTTTTTCATTAAGGTGCTGCTCCATCCCGAGCAGAGCGTGCCAAAGACAAGAAAGCATCCCGTCCGTTCCATCTCCTACGTAGTTCCATGTAATGATCTATTCCGCATCTTCCCACCAAGCCCCTTTCTCGATGTAGCCAAGCTCCCTTCCATTCCCGGGTTGAAAAACAAAAAGGCAAGAGAACCCATTAAAGCTTAATGCGTTACTACCCCCCCCCCCCCCCCCAAAACCATCGAGAGCTGGGGAGGGAAAACGATAAAACTCCTTCGACGCAACCTCCCCTAAAGCAACCAAGGAAAAGTCCCCCCTGCCAAGACCAGAAACACCCCGTAGACCAAACCCCTGTTTTTGTGATTTTGTCGCCATGTAAAGAAGAGTCGTCTTGTGTGCTTGTATCAACTCCCCGGATGTGCGTTACCCAGTCCCAATCCATTCGAGAGTCAAACCAGATTGTCGGAAGTCACGCCCACGCCGATTGTATGCTCGCAATTCGAATCATAGGTTTCCCTCCGACGCTTTTGGCACCCCAAACATTCCGTGCCCAGCCCCGAAGGGACGACTGACCCCAAACAACCGAAGAAAAAATTGAAAAAGAAAACTGATAGAAATGTCGCCCTGCTCCATGTTCACCCTCGCCGCGATATAACGGGTCATACGAAGCAAAACCCAGGCCTCTGATGTCCCATCACAGCTTGTGGTCAAGCCCCCAAAGTAACTGTTTACCCTTCCACGCCCTTTTTTTGCCATGCTGCTCTTTCGCCTCCCATAGCGATACTGTTCAACTCCAAGGTTGCAGAATGCGGTCCCTGCTGATGGGGGGAAAGTGAAACTCCTCAGAGATGCCGAAAGACACCCTTCACTCCGAATACCATGTGTTGAGCCCGAGGTATATATCAAATTCTCCGTGACCGAGGAAAAATCAATCGAGACGGAAATCAAACTGAGAAACCACCCACGCAAACCGCCTGTTTCATCAAACCCCTTGTTCATTCCGTAGTTGCGCCGCGTTACAAATTCGAAAGGGATGATATCGGGTCAGGTATCATATCACGACCGTCTAGCCCCAGACGCTAGCAGGAGGCTGGCTCAGACTCGAAGACTGAGGACCCCACACACCGTTTCCGCGACCCCAACCGCCGGGAGAGGCCAGCGGGGTAGTAGATCTCTTTGAAGACGAAGTCGAAGCTGCGCTCGGAGTTCCCGAAGGTCGCGTGCCGATGGGAGCAACCGTCTGTGCCGGCTTGGACCCGGCCGGAAGCTCCTGGCGTGGCGGAGAGCCGCCAGGCGACGAGTTGTTGGTGCGGGCCGCAGCCTGGCTCACGGCAGACTCGAATGCGCTCTTGTTGCTGTTGGTCGCATTGGGCTGAGGGCTGGCGGTGCTGCCGCCGCGAGAGCCCTGGTCACCCGGGGGCCCGGCGATAGGACCGGGGCCGACATCAGTAGCGGAGACGGGCGTGTGAGCGTCACCATGAGGGGGCGGACCGCGAGTGGCGTCGTAGGTCAAGGGCGACTGTCCACGCAGGCTGGATGGGCCACTATGGGTCGGGACGCCGGTGCGCACGACTCCGTTCTCATCGACGTAGCCTCCCTTCTCGGCAAACTGGCCCTCGCCGTACAAGGCGCTGCGCTGACGAGCGATCAACTCACGTGTCTCCTCCTCGGACATGGCCTTGGCGCCGTAGGGGATGTCAGAAACGAGAGCTGCGCGCACAGTTGATTAGCTTGACTTCCTGCGGAACCTCGAGATACTACGGGGTAAGGGGATGGACGGTGATCTGTTCAGGAAAACATCTTTCGACAGTAACATGACGGGGCAGCAGGATGTGCATGACGGTGAAACCCCTCGGCCTGAATTATCTATTTTTCTGCATTGCTGGTTCCCCCCCCCTGGCATATGGAGTTTGTGTGTGCTATACAGAAGAGGGCGGCCTACTTCGTTGATATTGCTGCTCAGTGTGCAGGTTTCGCAGCTCCCGCTCCCGTTGAGCGGCCATCCTTCTCTTGGCCTGCATCATCTGTTCCGCATCGTTCGAGCCACGGGAGGGCTGGTGGCGCTGGGAGGCGTAAAAGCTCTGGAGGTTCGAGTTGGGGTGGCCTCGGGCATCATCGAACTGGTTGACCGAGTGCGGTCGGGGGCCGGGACCGGCTCCGGCTCCCATGCGTCCGGCTGCGCAAAGCGGGTTAGCGACGGGATGGCTGCGGTGATGCCCGCCAGTTGCGAGCAGACTTACTGAAGTCGAGGGATTTTCTGGCGGGGCCATGGCCGGCGGGACCCATCTTGGGACCACCGGGGGTTGGGTACTCA